CTGTACTTCCTCAGAGTTTGAAAAACTCCTAGTGCTCTGGGGGGGCACTAGAAATGCAGGAGTGCTAGATTTCCTTACCTGGTGCTCTTCTGCTAGGGGTTTGAGGGCTGGCCCTCATTCCAGGGTGAGAATGAAGGGCATGTCTGCTTCTCTCCTTCCCCACCCCCTGGCAGAAATGAACTTGACTCTACACTCATGGTCCCACCACCATGTTGAAGCCCTTGGCAGCCTGAGAGCGCCAAGGAACAAGCTGTGACAACCAGGAGCCCTGTCTGGGGTGGTCCACCCTGGGGCCTGGGGCCTGAGCCTGTGCCTGGGGGAGCTGGGGCTCAGGGAAGTGACTTGAACGTCAAGCTGTGGACCGTTTGCTTGCGTGTGTATGTACGTGAGCATCTCATGCTGTGTTGGCGCTGGAAAGTTATTTGTGTTCAACTGACATTTAACACTCCCTCCCCTACTTCCTCCCAGCCCTGTGGGCAGGGGTGGAAACTTAGCACTTTATATTTATACAGAACATTGATGTGTCAATAAAATATTGTTTCATTTTAACAAACAACCTCTCAAGCTTCTGGTCTCAAGTTAATGCCTGGGAAAATGCTCAAAAGTTGTTTCTTAATCAGACTTCACCTTTCCTGCCAACAGGCTCTTGGAAAAGAATGGAGGCAGGTGTGGGTGGCCCATCCACCCACCCTCGCACCCTGTGCGACACGAATCTGTATCTGGGCTCCCTGGCGTTAGCTCAGGGTCTCTCAGCCGCACCTCATGCTGTGGTACACCTTTCTTACATGCTCAGCCCCCAGGCTCAGCCATACTCCTGGTGTTCACCATCAGGCACGTGTGCCCTGTGCCCAAGTCTCCAAACACCTCCTGCATTCAAGGCGGCAGGTGATATAGCCAGAGGCCAGTGGGAATAAAAGCCTGAGCAATCTTCATTTACCGGATCTTCAATCCACCCCCTCAGGATTTTTCACCGTACAATCTACAGATAAGTTTCCTTTGGCGAATGTGGAGTGCTGCAGCCATGAACCACAAAAGTAAACAATGCAACTGAACAGCAGGCTACAGCTAAGCCCAGACGGGGCACCAACCTAGGGACAACAAAAGACAAGATGGTTATTGGTGCCAGCAGATAATCCATCAATTCTGCTACCAAGCGCACTGCTTATTCATGGGGGGGATCCACTATTAATTCACAGCATCTGCTGTCACACACCAGGAGCCAGCAGGCTTCCTGGCCTTCTACTGTGGTCTCAGCCACAAATCATGCACTGTATCCCCCCAGGATGCAGTCACTCAGATTGGCAACACATTCTATAGTCCTTTGGGGGGGGTAATCACTCAATCCCCAGGGGTACTCACTGCTGACATGCCAATACCTGGCTTTCATAGCCACCACGGTGCCAAGCAGACCCTTGCACTAAGGCCGACCCTTTGCACATGCGCACGGGTTGGGGACCTGCGGACAGCAAACTCCACATGTGGCCTCCCTGGTTCTATCTCCAGCTATGGGCTCCACCACAAGCCGTGTTCCCCACCTGTGCCGAGGTTAGGTTCCACAGCACCTCATCCTTATTCAGAAGTGAAGAGGGCATCACCAACAGATGTTTTTAAGAGGCTCCCCTGCCTGCTTTAAATCCTTTGGCTGCTTAGTAACTGCTCAGGACTTCCCAGCCTTGGCTCCACATTTTGCCTTATCTAAATTGGCTTTTTGATGTATCTCCTGCCTGGCTGCAGAGAACTAGGCAAGGGCTTCCTCCCTCAGCTGGCCTTGGGCTGCCCTTATACCTGCCACTTCTCCACTCTGGCTGTTGCCTCTCCTGGCTGTGGCTCTGGGAGTGCTGGGCAGCACACAGACTGCTTTAGGCCACCAAGGCCCACCGGATAGTCCTTGATTATCATCTCCTGGGGTATACAAGTGACCTCTTCCATCCCCAGGGACCCATAGTCATATCAAGCTGCCAGTGTTCCTCAGTCTTCTGGCGGGATTGTGAGTCCAAGCCCATCAGTTTCTTCTTTACGTCAGCACTGGATAAGCTCCAAATGACAAATTGTGGTCTTTTCTCTTCCCCGATGGGTCTGCTGCCTCAAGAGTAGTGGGCTAGTCCTTGCAGGCCGTCCCCTCCACACAAGGTCTTGTCTTGCAGCTCCGGGACCTTGTTCACCTCCTGTGCTCCTGCAGCGTCTTTAGCTCTTCTCACAGCTCCTGGACTTTGATCACCTTCTGTGCTGCCATGGAGTCTCCAGTGTTGTCCGTGACGCCACTGCAGAGCTGTGAGGGAACACTCACCCCCCAGCCCTGCCTCCAAGCAGGACACTCACCATGTCAGTGGGCCCCTTATGGGGAGGTGCCCACACAGAGAGGAGGCCGGCAACCAAGCACTACACGCTCGCAGCCTGCCACCCCTCTCCTCAGCCCCTCCCGAGGTCTTCAGAGAGCTCCATAACTGTCTGCGTCGAATCATCCTACTGACTCCTGCCTCATTGTAGAGGCAGGAAGGCACAGAGCAAGCTCTCTATGGATCCAGGAAGACAGGTAAAGGAGAGTCCTGGAGCCCTCAGTGGCTTTTTCAGGCTTTTAATGCTCTTTCTACACCACTTGTAGTGGAGCAACCAGGTGCAGGGCAGGCAGGGCGGCCGGGAGGCTGGCAGACCTCCCAGCTCCCAGAGAATCTTTACTCTCTAGTGGTCTCTCCGCCAACCTCTGTCGTACATAGTCCTCTGAAACCGCCCCTTATATGTTCAGGCTCCAGTCTCAGGTGTACCCACTTACGCATGCCCACCCCATACTCTAGGTGTCCACCATCAGGCATGTGTGCCCCCTACCATATTCCCAAGCACCTCCTGCAATCAAGGCTGCAGGTAATAGCCACAGAGGCCAGTGGCGCAAAAGCCTGAGCAATCTTCATTTACCCTACAACCATCTACGCTATTTTTAAGCATCTGGTTCAATAATGTCAAGTGCACTTGTGTCAAATGCAATGACGCTCTAGAACTTCTCCATCCAGCAAAACTGAAACTCTGGACTCATTAAACAGCTCCTCACGCCCCCTTACCCAGCCCCTGGCACCCACCCCTATTCTACTTTCTGTCTCTATCAATTTGACTATTCTAGGTACCTCATATACATGGAATCATACAGTAACACAGTATTGTCTTTTTTTTTTTTTTTTTTAAATAGAGGCATGTTTTATTTATTTATTTATTTGTTTTGTTTTGTTTATACATGCACTGGGTACAGTCAGAAGCGCGGGAGGGTGAGAGAATTCACCAGAGGCAGAGCGGGGAGCAGAACAGGCAGAAGGACCGAAGTACACTGCTGAGGGGAGCAGCGGGCGGCAGGAGAGGTCTGCGCGCCATGTGGGACCCTCCTCTGGTGGCCGGGGAGCAGCCGGGGATCGAACCTGCGTCGCAGAGGCTGCGGGCAGCTTCGCAACCCAGCGCTCAACCGCTGCGCCACCGGGGAGGCCCCACAGTATTGTCTTTTAAGACTGGCTTATTTCATTTGGCAGAATATCATCAGGCAAATGCTTTTATTTCCTTTTAAAAATGATTTTATTTTATTTTTGCATAGAAGAGCTGGGGTGTAGGCCAGAGATGTGTGTGCGTGTGTCGGGGATAGTGGTGAGAGGATTCACCAGAGACAGAGTGGGGAGCAGAACAGTCCAGATCTACTGAAATACACTGCTGAGGGGAGCAGCAGGCGAGACAGGAGAGGTCTGCTGTGCCATGTGGGTAGCTCCCTGGCCGGGGATTGAACTCAGGCCCTTGCAGTGATAGGTGATAGTGCTGAGACTTAACTCCTAGGCCACCAGGGAGGCCCCAAATGCTTTTCTTAATTAACTGTTCTACCCATGCTCCTTTTCACTCTACCTAATATTTATTATTATTATTATTAATATTATTATTATTTTTCTGAGCACTCATCTGCAGGGCCAGCTGGGCACATTCTTGCTTATGTTCATACTCCCTGGGCAGCAGGAAGGGTGACCTTGTCACCTTCTCCCTGGATTTCGACTCTCTGGAAGTGTGCTGGGTTCCAGGCCTGGCAGGGAGCTGAGAGGCTCCCGTGGCCCTGGCTAATGACCTTGGCTCTGTCGTTTCCTTCACAGTGCATCAGTGGTGGTGTTGGTGTCCCTAATTCCTCCACCTTCGGGAGTTAAATCCAGGGGACGCTTGGTAGTCAACCTCTGAGGATAGGGCCTCTAGAGAGGTCAAGGGGTACAGAGGATGAGGAACATGGGTAAACAGCTTTAATTTCCAAATCTGAAGGGGCTGATTTTGCAGGATTTTTGTGGGGTGACTGGGGTAGTGTCCATGAGAAGGTGTAGGTATCCCAGAGTTTCCCTTTGCCATGTGGCAGGCTTCTCTGGGCTGCTGATTACATGGGGCCTTTGGTTTGTGAACTTTCACTGATATGTCTATTTTTGGTATGTAAACTAAAATAAAATATTTATCATAAAGAAACTAAAGCTTATAAAAAAAATGTAGTGACCTTGTCCCTCTGCCATAGGTAGACTGGGGACTTTTCAGGATTTAAGCATACGTCGCCGGCAGGAAAGGGGTCTCTCCAGGTTGGAGGATGTGGCCCCTCCCAGCAGGCCGCCTCAGCTCCTTTCTGCAATGTTTCTCTGCCCCCTGGTGGTGGAGGGGGCCTCAGACGAGGCACAGCCCCAAGTGGGATCCCTGCACGGTGTTTTGTGCCTGCCCCCTTCGCACCCTCTTGCTCCCTTTGGCTAGGCTAAGAAGGCTCCAAAAAGGACCCAGAGACTCAGGTCCAGACTTAGTGGGGGGCAGGGAGCACAGGTAGGTAGGGCTGCTGGGTGGTGATCCCAGGTGCAATTGGTTGACCCAGGGCTGCAGGTGCTGTTGGAGACAGGGGACTGCAGGTGGTGACTGGTGAAGCTGCTATTTAAGGGAAGGGGGTGGTGCTAAATCTGCAATTAGGTTGCATAGTAGTGCTTGCTTGCTGGCAGGCTCCACAGGGCCTCACCAAAGACAGCATGGACATGGGAGGCCTCTGGTCTTGGTGCTGGGTCTGCTCTCTTTTCCAGGTAAGGGAGCTGCCTTGCCCTCCTCCAGCCTTTAGAGTTCTAGGGAGAGGCTGGAGCCTTCAGGGATCTGAATTGACCAGAACCACTCAGAGAAAGAGCATTCTTCAGGGATGTTTCTAGAAGTTAGTTTCTGGAGGTCCAAGGGAAGGCCTCCTGAATACCCTAGGAGCAGGGTCCTGCCGGGCAGGATATGGGACAGGTCGTACTCCAGATGTCCATTTTCTGGGTGGGGGCAGGAGACTGTAACTACTCTAGCCTAGTCCTGCCAGGTTTCTCCAGGCTGAGCCCATTTTCCAGAAGTCTGGACTAAGAAAGGGGGCCATGGGGTGGGCCTGAGGCTAGCTTGCACCCTGCCATCATCACCGGACCCCGAGGTCTAGTCCTACCATCCCTCTTTCTGCTTTCCTGCTCCCTCTCTTGCCTCATAGACACCCAGGTGCTCAGAGCACTAGGCTGCCTCCTGGAGCCCAGCATTTGTCCTACCAAGGGAGCTGCTTCTAGTGTTGTCTAGGCTTTGACACCAGCTGGGGCTTCAGGGGGAAGGCAGGCGGCTCTCAGGACTCCATGTTGGAGACCTTTGTGAAGAGCCTGGGTCTTGTGGTCTGACACTGCCCTCCCCTTCTTCCCATCATCTCAACTCACCAATGGGAGCACTTTGGGCATCGTGTGTGCCCCTGTCTGGGCAGGTGATCCTAGGAGTGCCCTTAGCCTCCTGCTGCCCAGGAGCCTGTGGGACCAGTTTCCTAGAAGACCTCACTCCTGAGGGGACCCAGACATCCTGGGACAAGGACATCCCTGCAATTAATCAAGGTGAGGGCACTATGTCTTCTCTTGGGGTGTAGGGGTATGAAATTGTAGTGGTTTTCACCAAAACCTCACTGAACACTCAGAGGCATAAAGAGCTGGGAGATGCACTGCTTAGCAGGCTCTAGATGAGTAGTTCTGTGGGCAACTTCTTCAATGTCTTTTCCCGTATCTTCTCCTAAGCTCATTTATAAGAAGTGTGTGTGTGTGTGGGGGGGGGCAGGGAATAGGATTTAAAAATTGAACTGATAAAGTACGGGTCTCTGCAGCTCCCTAAGTTATTAGTGGATGTTGGAAAACACTTCAGCCGCCTCATGCAGGACGTCCCAGAGGTGTGAGGGGGCTGGGGTACAACAGCAAAGAAGCATGAAGTTCCAGACCTCGTTGTCTGCAGATCTCAGTTGAAGAATGAAAACGTATAGATACCCTGGGATGAAGCTGGTAGAAATGAACATTAGTTCAGGAGTTGGAGCCATCACATGCTAAAGTGTTGGGGGAATAGCGGGTACCTTGCCTGAGTGGGGATGGGAATTTGCTGGGGGTATGGGCACAAAGTGGCTACACTTGCGGCAAATTCCCCTCTTTCTGAGCCAAGACTTGGGACTAGTAAGCTTGAACAGCGGTATGCTACCTTTGGTCACTGTGAATGGCCTGGAGGAAGCCAAAACCAACCAGCTTATCCAGCATTGATAGTCCTATGTTGGGGAGATGGCACTCAGCTAGGGCTGCTAGTAACCCCCAACTGTCTGCAGCCCACCTTAGAGGTGGCTAATGCCCTGCCCAGGTGCCTTCACTAGGGAGTGCATGCTTTCCTGGCTGTGGGGAATGTTGGCTGCTAAGGCTTGACAGCTGAAGGTCCTTGGCTAAAGGAGCTGCAGTGCAGGGGTGCCTGGGACATCTCCCCTGCCTGGGGTGGCCCTAGCCTTGAGGGGGACAAGTCCAAGGTGCCATCTGGGGTCCAGAGCTCTGTGGAGTCAAGCTGAGGCAGCACTTGGGCTGATCCCCAGTTCTTCTCTAGTGTTCTCCTGCTTTCCTCAAGAAGTCACTGGCAGGTGGCTCCTGGTTTGGACCCTTCTTCTAGGGAACCCAACTTAAGGTACCTTCAGGTGCCAGAGGTTCTAAGATTCCCCAGGGGGCTGATATCTTAGTAAAAGGCTGTGGAGAAGGGCTGCAGCTGTGAGAGAAACAGACAGAGATGGGAAGGGGAGTGAGGTGAGAGGTGCCAGGCGGGGAAAGGAGGGTTCACAGGAGCCATTAGCAGCCTCCTCCTATGGTGCTGTGTGCTGGAATGTGCCACCTGCCACTGCAAGGGTCCTGAATGTAACCCAGGTGGGTCAGAGTTATGGGTCCAGGGCATATTCTGGGGGGTGACTTGGGCTGGAGTGGAGGATAAAGGAGACGGCTAGAGAAAAGGCCACTTCTTGACAGCAGAGGGCTTTGAAGCATTGGAACAGGATTGTGTGGGTTGTGGGAGCCATAGACTGTGTTTGAGCAGGAAGTTGGGATCAGTCCAAGAAACATCACACATGTTGTAGACTGGACTTAGAGTGGGGGTGTGATTCACCTGAGGCCACACAGCCTGAGTCTGGGAGAGAATTCGAGCTCTGAGAAGACCTTGGGTGGGTTGACCTGCCAGCCAGGCCTCGGCTGGGCACATCCTAAGAGTCTGTGTTCTGAGGGGTATACACATCCTCCTTCCTTTCCAGGACTCATCCCAGAGGAAACCCCAGAGAACAGCTTCCTCCCTGAGGGTGACATCCTTGGACCAGTGAGTGGGCTGTGCACACATGTGGCTATAAGTAACGTTTGAACCCCAGCATTACAGGGGTGGGACATGTAAGGGATCTCTCTGCTTGCTCGCAGTTTGATAAGACCTCTTCTTCAAAAGTCAGAGAATGGGCCTCCCTGGTGGCACAGTGGGTTGAGCGCAGTGCTGTGAAGCTGTCCGCAGCCTCTGCAGCGCAGTTTCCATTCCCGGCCAGCCATGGAGATACCCATATGGCGCAGCAGACCTCTCCTGTCTCACCCGCTGCTCCCCTCAGCAGTGCTTTCGGTCCTTCTGCCTGTTCTGTTCCCCACTCTGTCTCTGGTGAGTTCTCTCACCCTCCTGTGCCTGTGACCTGTACCCCAGCTCTTGTATAAATAAATAAATCTTAAATTAAAAAAATTTTAAAAGTCAGAGAATGTTCTATTGGGATTAAGTTAGCCTGAATACTAAGGGAGGGTAACATCTGGACTGGTACAGCAGTAACCCTGGGAAGGCTTCCTGAAGGGGTAGGGTTTCAGGAGCTGCCCTCTCTCCTGAGTCCCTTCCAGCTGTTTTCCACTCCCAACAAAAAATGGCCCAAGAGTGGTGGTGTTGTAGAGGTCCCCTTCCTGCTCTCCAGCAAGTACAGTGAGTGAGCATGTGCTCCCCAGCCTTGGGAGCCTTGGGGCTTCCTCCCTGCCCCAACCCTATTACTATTTGGGCCTGGGCTCCTTTCTGGGTTTTCCCTCCATACCCCCTGTAATCCTACCAAGCCCCCTCCACCACCACCACCCTGAGAGGCTTCCACCAAGACCCCTTCTCTTCCCGAAGGCCTTTTCAACTGGGAGAGCTGAAGTCCTGGAAGAACTGATGGGGAAGATATACTAAAGGACTAGCTGATCTATTTTGAGACCAATCTGTCTCGAGGGTAGTGACCTGTCCAGGGCCTATCTAGAGCCTAGCTTCTTCCCCCAGCACCATCACACTACACTTTCTTGACATTTTATTTTAGGAGAGTGACTTGAAGTTCCCTATTGCCCAGGCAGACTTCCAAGGGGTCACGAAGACTCTGGGGGTTTGTTTGGGGGGCGGGTTCAACCAGGGTGTTTCCTCCCAGATGAGCCCAACCACAAGGTGATCCTAGAGGCCTTTGCTGAGTTTGAACGCCTCACGTGCATCAGGTTTGTCCCCTACCAGGGCCAGAGAGACTTCATTTCCATTGGCCCCATGTCAGGGTAAGTGCGTGCGTGTGTGTGTGTGTGTGTGTGTGTGTGTGTGTGCTGCATGTCTGCATGCACGCAGAAGCCTGCATGCTTTCTTTGGCGTTCAGCCTGGAATGAACCAAGCCATTGTCTGAAATCTATTTCTGGGCTTGTCCTCCTGGGTCCAGGGTCCCTCTGTCCACCCCGAATGGCTTGCCTCACGGACCTATCGATATTTGGGGCAGAAAGTAGAGGAGGTGTGGGAGAGGAAGGGGGTGAAGTGCTCAGTGCTCCTTTATGAAGCCCTCATCCCTGGGAGACTTCTGGTGAGTGAGTGAAGGTTTTGTGGGACAGACCTGGCCTCGGGTCCAGGATCCACAGTGCAGGGCCGCATGATTCCAGGCGAGTTGCTTAACTTCGGAGCCTCTTCAGCTTCTCTTTTGAGAAGGGCAATACCTATTTCTAGCTTGTTAGGTGCTTTTTAAAGCATGTGAAAACTTGAACTCAGGGTTCCCCGAGTGGGTACAGCCACTTAGCTGCTTCTGCTACCCACATTAATATAAGTTCCTACCTTCCTGCAGCCCAGACTGGTATTCAAGTTCTAGTACCCCCATTTCACAGAAGGCCAGGCAGTGACAGGGGTGTGGGGAACAGCAAGCCGGGGGCTAGCTGCTTGTTGGTGCTTACCACGCCAGAACTTGGGAAAAGAAGGGGCTGACTCGGGCTCCGTGGGTTGGTGCCCACCAGCTCTCTCATGGCCTTGCAGGTGTTTCGCCAGTGTGGGACGCAATGGAGGGATGCAGGTGGTATCCCTGGCACCTCCCTGTCTCCGGAAGGGCAAGGGCATCGTCCTGCATGAGCTCAGGCCTGTGCTGGGCTTCTGGCACGAGCATGCCCATGCTGACCGGGACCGCTATATCCGTATCAATTGGAATGAGATCCTTCTAGGTAAGTCCTATCATGCACAGGTCCGGCTGGGTCTGGGGGTCTTGGGGTGGGACATGAGAGAGGGCAAAGGTGTAGGCCAGTACCACAGGGGTCACCAGGCTATTTAGAAGAGGCTGTCTAGGGCCTCCCCTGGTGGTGCAGGCGGTTGAGGTGGTGCAGGCGCCACGCTATGAACCTGTCCGCAGCCTCTGCAGCGCCGGTTCGATCCTGGCTGGCCAGCAAGGGTTCCACATGGCACGGCAGACCTCTCCTGTCTTCCCCGCTGCTCCCCTCAGCAGTGTACTTTGGTCCATCTGCCTGTTCTGTTCCCCGCTCTGGCTGTGGTGAATCCTTTCACCCTCCCGCGCTTCTGACTGTACCCAGTGCTTGTATAAATAAATAAATAAATCTTAAAAAAAAAAAAAAAAAAAGAAGAGGCTGTCCCGTCTTCTCTGCTGCCTGCCTGTCTCATGGGGAAGGGGTATCCCATTGCTCTCTGAGACCTAGAGGTATTCACATGCTGCTGTTTTGGGCTCTAAGCCTTCATGGTCCATCCCCAGCTGAGCTAGGGTGTCACCGTTTGCTTTGTGTCTCACCTCTCACTGACACTGTTGGTTCCTGAGGACAGGGTTGATTGTGTCTTGTGACTCTTGTTGGTTGTGTACTTAACTAGCAGGTGTATTTAAGCTCTGGTGCCAGACACTACTGTGGGCTTGGGGCAGGCCCTCTGCTGGAGAGCTGAAGGGGCAGAGGGTGGTCCTGTAGCTCAGTGTGTGTGAAATAGGCACTGAAAATTGTGGGACAGAGGAAGCACAGGGAGAACATATCATAAAAGGCAACAGGGGAAGGCCCAGGATGATCTGGGGTGTGGTCACTGCCCTGGATGCCAGTAAGCAGCAGCTGAGCATGGGTCATACGATGGGTATCTGGCTCTGGGAATGGGGGCATAGTTTAAACCAGGAGAGGGGAGGTATAAAGACAGTTGCTTCATGAGGGAGGGCAGCAGAGGATGTAGATGTTTGGGGGTGTGGGAGGAGAAGGGGAACATGCAAGGGCTTCCTGCACACAGGGCGTCTGGTGAGGGTACCACCATCACTGGGGGGAGGGTGCTCAGGACTGAAAATTGTGGAGTTCCCGGAGAAAGGGTGCTTTGGGGAACATGGGTAGTATCTTATGATGGGATGCGGCATGGGGACTGAGATCAGGGGTTAGTGTAGTGAGGAACAATGAACAGTGACTGTGCTCTGAAAGTAGAGGCTAAAGCCCTTCCTGGTGTGCATGAAATGCTTGTGAAAACCTATATAGAAACGTCAAATTAAAAAAAGTAGAGTTAATGTAAATGTTCTAGTCATGATGGAAAGTAAACATTAGAAACTAATACATGAAAACCTTCTTCCATTTGGAAATTAAACAAATATTTTTTAGCTCCTGGATTAAAGTAATTGCAAGAATTCTAAAAATCAAATGTTTTAGAACCAATGGTTCATAACTAAAGCGATGCTCAAGGAAAATGTGTATAGTTAAATGCTTATGTCAATGAAAGTAGAACTTTTTTTTTAAAAAAGGACATTACTGATAGTAAAAGCAGAAATTAATGAGTCACAAAATAGCACTAGTAAATTCAAGAGCTGTTAACAAACAAAAAAAACCGGTTAGAATGCCAACTACCCTAATGGAAAAAAAATTGCTTAAGAATAGAGAAAGAGGGCTTCCCCGTTGGCGCAGCGGTTGAGCGCTGGGTTGCGAAGCTGCCCACAGCCTCTGCGGTGCCGGTTCGATTCCCGGCTGCTCCCCGGCCACCAGAGGAGGGTCCCACATGGCGCGCAGACCTCTCCTGCCGCCCGCTGCTCCCCTCAGCAGTGTACTTTGGTCCTTCTGCCTGCTCTGCTCCCTGCTCTGGCTCTGGTGAATTCTCTCACCCTCCCGTGCTTCTGACTGTACCCAGTGCTTGTATAAACAAACAAACAAACAAACAAATAAAACATGCCTCTATTTAAAAAAAAAACATTAAAAAAAAAGAATAGAGAAAGATGGGAATATACTTACATTTAGTTAACACACATAGAACCAACTGCTAGACTATGAGCAACAGGAATTAACCCTGGGGAGGTGGGGACTAGGGAAGGGGGCTAGGGAGGAGACTAACAGTTTTTGATTTTTTTGGGGGGTACTAGAACTTATTGCCTATTCAAAATTAATAACTTACAGGTTTTTGAAGGGAATAAATAAGCACTCAGGGGTCGGAATCTCAGGCAGGTGATGAGATAAAGGTGCTGGGAATGTCCTTTGATCTCTGCTGGTGACCATAGAGAGCCAGCATGGGGGTGCTGGCGAGAGGGGGTAGGGGGTTCAGTGGTGTATGACGGTCACTATGAAGGTTAGAAGAGAACCTGGAGCGGGGAACCTTGGCCTGCCCAGGCCGGGAGGACCCGAGTGACAGGGACAAGTGGGCTCTCCGGCCAAGGTGGGCTTGCTGCTGGGGAGGGGTGTTCACCACCACAGAGGGTGGGCGAGCAGGTCTCCAGATCTAGCTAGAGGAGCAGGACCCCCACTTCACCAGTAGGGGGTGCCCGAGACACTCTCAGCAACATTTGACTTCCTGGAGGCTGTAAATTACACAAAGATCAGTCTCATACAAAGTGAGTGGGAGAGAATGGCCAACAGGCATATGAAAAAATGTTCAACATCACTTGTAATCAGGGAAATGCAAATCAAAACTACAATGAGATACCATCTTATACCAGTGAGAATGGCACATATTAAAAAAAAATAGCTACCACAAATGTTGGCAAAGATGTGGAGAAAAAGGAACTCTCCTGCACTGCTGGTGGGAGTGTAAACTGGTCCAACCACTATGGAAAGCTGTGTGGAGATTCCTCAACCTGCTAAAGATGGAGCTTCCATATGATCCAGCAATTCCACTCCTAGGTATTTACCCAAAGGACACAGAAACATCAATTCCAAAGAGCACCTGCACCCCTATGTTTATAGCAGCACTGTTTACAATAGCTAAGCTATGGAAACAACCCAAATGCCCAAAATAGATGACTGGATCGAGAAGATGTACATGTACACAATGGAATATTACTCAGTAATCAAAAAAGATAAACACATACAGTTTGCAGCAACATGGATGGAGCTAGAAAGGATCATGCTCAGCAAAATAAGTCAGAAAGAAAAAGAAAAATACCGGATGGTCTCACTCATAGCAGGAATCTAGAAAACCTAAATAAGAGACCAGGAAAAAGACTAATCAATAGAAAGTAAAAATCAAAATCAATAAGCAACTATAAACCAGGGACACACTAGGGACAGGGTGGGGGAGGGGAGGTGGGGAAAGGAAGGACTAGAGTCAAAATAAGGGGGGGTGCAATTGTATGGGGAATATAACCAAAATGAAAATGCATACATTGTGCAAAGATGAAAAAACATGTAAGAATTATATAAAATAAAATATTTAAATAATAAAAAAAAGGTGAGTGGGAGAGGCGCAGGGAACTATGAGGAGGCAATGGCCGGCCAGCCACAAGGTCCCTGTGCTTCCATGTCACCTGGCACAGATCTAGATCCCTCCCAGGCCAGGGTGGGCAGAATAGGCAGTGAAGACACTGAGAGACGGGAGACAGGGAGCATGGACTAGTGCTGGGAGTCAGGTGGGGTACAGGGAGAAGCACGTATGACTGTAGCTTTAGATCCCCCTCCTCCCAGCTGAGGTAGGTATTAAATTCCCAGAAATCCCATGTCCTGACACCACCTCTACCCTGCCCCCCGCTTTTCTCCCTTGCCCTCTTCCCCCATCTGCAATTATATTTTCAGGCTTTGAAATAACCTTTGTCAAATCTTGGACCAGCAACATGCTGGTGCCCTATGACTGCTCATCAGTGATGACCACAGGAGGTGAGGACCCTCTTCCTTCTCTTCCTTCCCTCGGCACGGCCCTGCCAGCCCCTGCTGTCATCAGTGCTCAGGTCCCTGCCCGGTGGGTTTCAGATTTGCCTTCAGCCGCTGTGGGCTCCCCACTTTCGTGCCGCTTTGGGCCCCCGATGTCTACATTGGCCAGCGATGGAACCTGAGCAGCTTGGACATCACGCAGGTCCTCAGGCTTTATGACTGTAGTCCGAGTGGTCATGGGCCCCGTGGCAGAGGTGAGTGACGGGGCTGAGTGACTTGAGGAACCTGGAGAAGGCTCCTATGCGGAGGTGGTGTCAATGAAGGTGGAGAGGTGGGAGGTAAAGTTGCAGAGCTGAGCAGGTAGAGATCACAGGACATCACGGCCAAGAGGTTGGGGAGAAAGGGATGGACGTGAAGGGCTAACGGTGTGAAGGGCAGGAAAAGAAACCTGTTAGAGTCACTGGGCTGGGGTGGTGCCCAGGTGCAGTATGGTGTAGGGTGGTGAGGTGGACTCCCAGACAGGGGTTTTGTGGGCATGTATATGTTGGGGGGCAAGGAGATGGGGTAAGGCTGCTTGAGGATGTCTCCAAGCAAGGGGCTGCAGTGAGGGCTTTAGAGTCCAAGGTAGGCAAGGAGAACAGCTTAGAAGCAAGGCTGGGGAGCAAGAAGATATTAGGGTTTGTAGGCTCAGCAGGGGTACAGAGTTATGATACTTGAATGAGCTGGGAGTAGAGGAGGCCACTGTCAGACCATGGGTTGTTGAGAACTGAGGTTTCTGCAGTGGGATTTCAAGTGCAGCCCAGTCCGGGAGCAGGGGTGGGCTGTGAGGTCACTGGGAATGAAGAGTCCCTGGGAGAAGCAAGTCAGCTCAGATTTGGGAGACGGGCTCTTGGAGAAGCTTCAGCGTGTGGGCGGGAGTGACAGGGAAAAGCATGGTGAGTAAGGCAGGGACTGGGGCAGGCCCCAGGTAATTGTTTGGGCCTAAAATGAACAAGAGTTTTTACAAAGTATAGTGGGTGGCACAAGGTAGGGAGTGACAGTGAAGAGCAAGGAGGGACTGTCACTCCGAGTTAATGGGCCTGACAGTGCTCAGATGTGTCCTCCTCATGCCCTGGGTTGGGATGTGACTGCAAGCACAGGGGAGCTCAAGGTCGGGAGCCGGTGCTCCTGGTATTACCCTGGAGCATTCCTGGCTAGCACAAGTGCCCACTTTCCCCCCAGTCCCATCTCTGGGTGCAGACCAGCCTGCATCTACTGTGCAGGCTGATTTGGTGAATCCAGCTCTGCCGGGAGCCCATGCTCCTAGAATTCCCTTTAGGGAGATGCCCAGAGGTGAAGCTTGTGGCTTCTGTCCCCAAATGGGGAGGGCATCCTCTGCTCAGGACAGCCAGGTCGTGCAGCCCTTGGCCCCTCTGGACAACATCCCTGTCTTCCAGCCCCAATCTGATTACCCCGTCTGAGGCCCAGGCCTCTCCTGTCTTCCCCATCTTTTGCCCTAAGGCTCTGGGGAACAGAGGGTCCCTATAGATCTATCAGGGGAAAGGCAGACCTTTCGGGATGTCTGGCTCTGTCTGCTCAACTCCTGTCCCATCCATAGTCACACCTGGCAGATGCTTGGGAATGAAGTCACATTTTCCAAGGACAAAGGTGGGGGGGGGGCGGGGCACAGAAGAATTTCCAGCCCTGAAGACCCCTGGGTGCCCTCTTGCAAGAGAGGCCCAGCCCCTAGGTGGACTAAGGTGCTGCCCCCTTCAACCTCAGGTCAGGCCTTGGGAGATGCCCTGAGGCTGGTACCCTGGGAACAAGCAGGTTCCTGTCCTAATGCCTGGGGGGTGGGAATGTTACCCTGCAGCTGTCTCCTCAGGTCCTGCTCTCTGGGAGGCATTCAGAGCCTCCCTTCCTCCCCTTCAGTGCGCGAAGGCTCCAGATGCAGGGTTGCCAACAGTGGGGTGATGAGGAAGTGGTGGGCTCACTCTGAGGTGCTCCACAAGAATATGAGCTCCCTGAACATAGGACTCTGTCGAGCTCCTCTCTCCCCCATGTTGCTGCTTCCAGGAGACTTGCTTTCCCCTCCCCTCCATCATGGCCAGAGGAGGTTCTAAAGGTAGAAGGGGCTGCTTGTCCTGTTTCAGCCAAGTCCCTGCCTCTTCCCCAGCTGTTGACTTTCATGTGAGGTCTGCTTAGGAGTGAAGTCTCCAGGGTACAGTGGGTGGGCCTGGGACAGGAGCCCCCCCCCCCTTGCCAAATGGCCTGTCAAAAGCCCAAGGAAACCCTGCTTGGGATGGGCGGGAACAGGAGCTGACACCCTGTCTCAGTGGGGCTGGCCGCCTCAGATGATTTTTGGGAAAGCAGAAATAAAGCTGGGTACTTGTTCCAGGATTCTGGTTCCAGGTTGTGTTGACTTTAAGTATGAGTGCCTTTACCCTCTTCACTCGAGAGGTCTGGGGACCTCCACAAGAATGAGGTCCCTGAACATAGGACTCCTGTTGAGCTCCTGCTCCTCCATGTTGCTACTTCCAGGAGACTTGCCCCCCCCCCCTCCCCTCTCCTCCCTTCAGTCTTGGCCAGAGGGTCTGGAAGGGGCTCGGATGCTTATACACGCTTTCCAGAGGAGGAAGCAGACTTAGGGACGCAAATAAACTTTTTGAGATAGCATGGATGGGGGCATCACTGCAGGCTGAGGCTTGGCCTTTTCCGACCCCTGGACTCTGAGGGGACACTGGGGCACACTCAGGGGCTCTGGACCCTCCACCGTCTATCTTGGGTTTCAGTCTTGAGTCACTTGAGTCAAGGATTTCTTAAGACTGACCAGGGACTGTCTCAGGAGTTAATAGCAGGCAAGAATCATGGGGTCAGTTAGTGGGGGGGGACTCCTGTCCCCCACTCAAGTCTCCTGTCCCCCACTCAAGTCTCCTGTCCATCTTTTTGCTCTTAGACTTGGGAGGAGGGGTGTCTAAGTCTAGGGGGAGTGAGCTGGGGCTCTGACCATGTACCTAGCAGATGACAGCTCCCCTGGGAGACTCCAGATCAGAGACTTCGGGCCAACTCTAAGACAGTATAGTACCCTGCTTTTCAGAAGTGACCGTGACAGACTCAAGACCTACAGGTCTCTGCGCAACCAGCCCAGGCCTCTGGCACCCGACTGGGTGTGGGGTTTCTCAGCGGCTGTCAGACACTGGGTCAGCCCTGTGAGACCTTCCCAGTTCTAGACTGCCCCCATAAACCTCCATTAGGATGTGGCTTTTGGAATTAGTATCCGGCTTCTCCAGAAAGTTAAGTGGGGATGGCTGAGCCTGGAGGCTCAAGAGGATTGAGGGTGATCCTTGTCATATCCTTCCCCATGAGGCCTCCAGTCACTACAGACACTGTTCCCAGGTTAGCTCTGGGCCCAGTCCTGTTTCACAAGCCCAGCCCTATACCTCATGACCCAGCCCTGCTTCAGCCCCTTGGGGGACATGATATGTATGGGCTCATAGGGTGTTAACCAGAGTGAGCCACCCAGCCCATGTGAGGCCTGTTCCCCGCTCTGTAACCCCAGAGCTATGTGGGTTCACTCATCAATTTGTTCACTCATCCAACAGACTGTTGAATTGGGTGCCAAGTAGGCTCTGCTATAGGTATTGGGAATAACATCCTGAAGTTTATTCAGGGGTGAGGCAGGGATAGACAGAACAGGCAAGTAAGGAAGCATCTGTGATAACTTATGGGGGGCAGCACTATTTTGGGTTGTTGGCATTTCAACTGAGACCTAATGACAGAAGTAAGCTACCCTGAGAAAATCTGGGAAAAGAGCCAGTGCAAAGGCCTTGAGGCTGGAGTGAGCAGAGATGTAGAGGGGAGGATTTAGGCAGGGCCAGGCCAGAGGAAGTGAGGTTCTCGGAGGGGAGAGACAAGATCTAAGCTATAGAAGTCCTTCTGGATACTCTATGGAAAATGGATTGTAAGCAGGGAGAACACTTGGAAGTTCCTGCAGTTGTGCAAGTGAGAGCAAGCGGGGGCGGTGGAAACTTGCAGAAGTGGGGGCTTTTGGAGTTTGTTTTGGAGGCTGAGGCAACCACACTTTCAATTGGATGTGGGGGAGAGGGCACCACTTGCAGCACTGAGAACCCGGGGGGAGAGGCAGGGCTCGGGGATATGTTAAGTCTGGGGAAGCTATCAGACATCAGTGGCTGTGTCAGGGAGTGTGTGGGTGGCATGAGCCTGCAGTTCAGGACAGGAGTGCTCTGGGGAAGTCATCGGCATCTGGGGGGCAGCCATGGGGTTAGGTGAAACCCAGGAAGAGTTCTGAAGAACAGGTGTCCCAGCCCCGAACCGGGGTGGTGCTTCATTATTTAGTGAGGGTATCTCAATCTCGGCTTATTAGCTTTCTGTGCCTGACAATTTTTTGTTGTGGGGACTGTCCTGTACATTGTAAGATGTTCAGCAGCAACTTTGGCCTCTGCCCACTAGATGCCAGTAGCAACCCTCTTCCCTCTTCCTCTGCTGTGACAGTAATGTCTCCAGACATGGCCAGAGGTGCCCTGAAGGGGCAGGGACAAGAGTCACTCAATAAGAAACACTGATTTGGAATTTAGAGAAGACAGAAGGCTGAGAGGAGGGAGTGAAACCTGCAGGGGTCCAATGGGGGGGGGGCATTATATAAAAATGGCTGAGAAACTGAGCAAGAGGAGTACCCAGAAAAGAGCCTGGCCCTTGGTGGTGTCATGAGTGGCCCGTCAGGAGTAGATTGGGCGGAGAGGGGGGCGGACTCCCTAGTCAGGGTGAGGGGGAGATGGGCGGGATTAGAGATAGTTGGAGAAGGTGGGGACCATGGGGTTGGGGGCTCAGAGGGCTGGCTAGGGAGTGGGAGTGGCCCTGAGCGTGGGGGAGTGACAGGTGGAGAGGGCATGACTGCTGGGGTAGATTGGGGGACAGGCAGAGGACCTGTCCTTTGAGTGGGGTTGGAGCTCAAATGCAGGTGCTTGCTGGGGTGAGTTCCTGCCTGCTGCTTCCATTTCCCTCTAAACAGGAAGCAGGGTAACAGCTGGGCAGAGGACAGTGAGGGAGGAATAGCAGTTCTGAAGAGTGGGAGAGCACACTAGCAGGGTTTGGGGATTTGTGGTCATCGAGGCCAGTCGATGCAGTGAGAGTTCTCCGGAAAAAGCAGCCGCGTGGTCAGAGGCAGGGAGGAGGTGGTGGATGATTTAGGTTTGAGCAGGGCTGGGGTTCTGACAGGGGAGTGGTGATGGGGGGAGAGGAGGCCGGCTGACATTATAGAGGGCATGACTCGAGGGGGTGGGAAGGGGGCCATCCAGAGTGGTCTGGTGATAAGAGTCCCAGGAACTTGAACAGGCTCTGGGGCATCTGGGGGAAAGCTGGGGTGTGAAAGCTGGATTGGGCTCATGGGGTTAGGGGGAGCTGCCTGAGTCCTGGCCCAGGAGGATCTGGGGTGTCTCTCCTCGCAGACCTAGAGTAGAAGCGTCTCCAGGGCTTTCAGATACGGTGGCACATCTCTTGCTGTGCTCTCACGGCCAGGCACAGGACAGCTGTCTCCCTTTCTTTGGAGAGGATGGTACTAAGTCACCTTTCCCCTGTGGCTTGTTCCTCTTTCCAAGGACATCCATCAAGGACACCTTTACTTGGGCACTGTCTGGATAAGAAAGGATCCTATGTATGTTACACGCTGATACCTGCTGGCCCTATCCCTCACCACTCAGCAACCCCGGCTAGGTCCTGGGGACAGAGAAGGGATGTTCGCTTTGATAGAGGGGGTGAGACAACAAAGCCATAGGACAGCATCTCAGTACAATGACTCTGTGTGGCATCAAGGAGCCTGGCGATCAGGGTACCTCCCTCTGTCTGAGAGGATGGTGACAAAGTGAGAGAGCAGGAGCCCACATAGCACAGAGAGAAGGGTGAGGAGGGTGTTTCCGGCCAAGCAAATAGTCCCTGGAAAGGACTGGAAAGAGACAGCTCAGGGCTTGTCCAGAGCCAGCCCCTGTCACTATTGCTCCTCCCCCACGGGTGGTGGGAATGCTGTAGTTCTGGGGCTGCTCAATGCCAGCCCAGGTGGAACAGAATGATAGTGGAAGGGCAGATCTAGCTTGGGAAGAGCTGAAGGAAGCGCTGCTGCAGCCACATCTGGCAGCCATGTAGGGCCTGGTGGAGCAGCTGCTGGGAAGGTGTGTGTGGAGATGAAGAGGTGCAGAAGCGCTGCATTATGTAAGGGCCCGGCTGCCCCATGCTGTGCCTGTCTGGCGGGTGGGGCTGGGGGGCTGCACCAGGTGACACAGCGCCTGCAGCGGGGCTGAGCTGGATGGTGCCTGTGGACTCTCCTTGGCTGGTGGCCAGTAGGGCCAGGTGCTGGGAAGACCTGGAGCTGTCCCTTCAGGGAAGGTTTGGGTAAGAATCAGTGGAGACTTGCAAGGTGGAGAGGGAGTATGAGCAGCCCTAGTGTCAGATCTGTGTGGAGGTCTGGCCTTTTAAGGAAACTGAACCAGGAGACAAAATGGCTGACCCCGTTTGCAATGTCTAGGGAGATGCCCATCGAATCCCCAGTGTGAATATGGTTGGAGTAAGTGAAAAAGTGCCCACCCCCCACATGACCATTTGGGATGCCAGGGTACTCATACTCTGAGGCATCTGGACTGGCAATAGCTGCATCCCAGGCCCCAACGGTCATACCTCCGTCCTCTGTCCTTCCTCAGGAAGGGGGCTACTGAGCCCTCTCCATGCCTGGCAACCCAAGGTCCAGATCCTGCCCAGGCCAGCCCAGTCTGGCTGAGTGGGAAGGATACACCCTTAAAATCTGCCTCTGGAGGAGGCAAAGGAGGCTGACTGTCTCTCTTAACCTAGCCTGGGTAACACCCACCCCACAGGCAGTGGCACTCTCACTTAACAGAGGGACTGGGGAGGCTGGCAGAGGCAGGGGCAGCCTGGGATTGGGGGGGAAGCTATGCTTCCTGCATAGCTTGGGGTGACAGGGGTGCAACCTGTCTGAGCCTGGGTGGGGGTGAGAGATTGGCCGTGGGCACTGAGAGCTCACATTTCCTGCTCCCATGGAGACAGAACAGGCAGGATCAAAGGTCCAGCCGGCACACTAGCTTAAGGCCAGATCCTTTGGGGATGGATTGATGCTCATTTATCCAAAGGCTGCCATGGTGCAATGGGCTATAAATACAAAGCCTGACTTGGGGCTGGGCTTATAGCATTAGGAGCTCTGGCAGCTGTGAAAAACCACCCCTTGAGGCTGCTCAGGTTGGCCCTGGTGGCAGGAAGACAATGGGCGAGGTTCTGGTGAAGAGTTGGTGCTTGCAGTTCTGAGCCAGGATAGAGGTGGGGCAGGGGGCGAATCTGAAATTTCTTTTCATTTTACTCTTCTTTCCACGCCACTCCAAGAGGGGCGCGCTGCATATATGCGCTCAGAACTGGAGCGCCGAGGGGGTCACTACACAGGACAAGGAAGCTCCCGACCCCTAGGACCTATTTTTTTTTTGTCCTCTGAGCTATGTCTAAAAGACCCGACCTCTGACCAACCCCTATCCCCAACTAGGTTTCTTTGTTTTGCCCCAAGGGGTATCATCTTCTATAGCTCAAGAGGTGGCAGTTCGCCAAGTACCTCCCAAAACAACCCTTGCTTGGGTCTCAGGTGCTGCTGAGATTTGAGTCCAGGCCAGTTTTACTCTTACCTCTTTGCCCTTAATGGAGGAAACTGAAACAGCCGCAGGAGAAACAGGTAAGCTGAAGTCCAAAATCCCAGGTTCTGAGCACTCGCTGCCCCCACCCGGCTGGGGAGCCTTTTCAGTGCCCCTTGGACGCAGCGAGAGCAGGGATGAGACCCTGGTCTCCCCCCGCGCTGCGGACCCCGTGGGCACGCGGGCGGCGGCAGGGGGCACTCGCAACCTGGGCGTGCGCCTCTCCGGCTCTGCAGGCCCGAAGGAGTCCGGTTCGGGTAGGAAAGCTTTTGGGGAAAGAGCTGGGGCAATTTCCCCGCACCCCCTCCCCGCCCCGCGGCCACTCTCCTCCGCTGGGCTTCTTGGACGCCGGGTTGGGGCTGTGGTTTATTTTACTCTGGGCGCCTTAACACACCCTTAATGGTGGAAACCGAAACAGCTGCAGAGAAACAGGTGCGCTGAAGTCAGAAGTCCCAGGCTCTGAGCACTCGCGGCCCCACCCGGCTGGGAGCCTTTCCAGCGCCCCTTGGACGCAGCGAGGACCCAGCCTCTTCTTGGGGCTCTTGGGCCGCAGAAAGACAGATCCGTTGCCGCCCACTGTTCTAGACCCCAGCGCGCCGCCCCAGCCCCGCGGTCCGCAGGAGAGTCCAGCCGTGGCGCCCGCGTCCGCCCCAGCGCCTTGCTCTAGCTTCCAGCGCGCGCCGACCCTTCCACCTCTGCCAGCGCCCTCCTCAGATTCCCAAAGACCCCAGAGGCCGGCCCCGCCGAGGTCCAGCGGCACGGGGGCCGGGAGGAAAAGGGGTAGGGGCGCCGGAGCGGAGACCTAGGGTCCGGGGAGGCCGGTCTCGCCTAGCTTCCGACGAGGCGCACCTTCCACCCACCCCCAGGTCGGACCGCCAGCCCCGCCTCCCTCTCCCTCCTCCTGCCCCCGCCTCCCGTCTCCTCCCTCCGCCAGCCGCGCGCGCTCAGCTCCCCACTCTCCAGCCACCGCGCTCGCCTGCAGGCGCGGCTCCGGGCTCCTGCTAGCTGGCGAGCCGGCGCTCAGCCTCCTCCGAGAGCCGGAGGCGCGCCCCAGCCCAGCGCGCGGCCCAGCGTCTCAGCAGCGGGGGCGGGAGGCACAACTTTACCCCGATCCCGGGCGGGGCAGGGACTGCAGCGCGACAAGTTGGAAAACTTCTCCGGTGCGGACGGGGAGACTCCGGGCGCCGGTACAAAAGGATGTAGGAGGGCGGTGGCTGACCCTCAACCTCCCCGGATCTCCAAGGCCCTATTCGGTCCGGCCATGGGGCGCTAGCGCCTTCGGCGCCGCCAGGGGGTCGACCCTCCTGTCCTGCCGAGCTGGGTGGGACGGTGCTGTCACCCGTGGTGCCCGCGCTGGGCGAGCAGCGCCCCCTCTGGCCGGGTCCAGACCCGCCATGGACCACCAGGAGCCCTACTCCGTGCAGGCCACCGCGGCCATCGCGGCCATCATCATCTTCCTCATCCTCTTCACCATCTTTGGCAACGCGCTGGTCATCCTGGCTGTGCTGACAAGCCGCTCGCTGCGCGCCCCGCAGAATCTATTCCTGGTGTCGCTGGCCGCCGCTGACATCCTGGTGGCCACGCTGATTATCCCTTTCTCGCTGGCCAACGAACTGTTGGGTTACTGGTACTTCCGGCGCATGTGGTGCAAGGTGTACCTGGCGCTGGACGTGCTCTTCTGCACCTCCTCCATCGTGCACCTGTGCGCCATCAGCCTGGACCGCTACTGGGCCGTGAGCCGAGCCCTGGAGTACAACTCCAAGCGCACCCCGCGCCGCATCAAGTGCATCATCCTCATGGTGTGGCTCATTGCAGCTGTCATCTCGCTGCCATCCCTTGTCTACAAGGGCGACCAGGGCCCCCAGCCCAGTGGGCGCCCCCAGTGCAATCTCAATCAAGAGACCTGGTACATCCTGGCCTCCAGCATTGGATCCTTCTTTGCACCCTGCCTCATCATGATCCTTGTCTACCTGCGCATCTATCTGATTGCCAAACGCAGCCACTGCAGAGGTCCCAGGGCCAAGGGAGCCCCTGGGAAGAGTAAGTTTAAGCAGTCCCGCCAGGTCCCTGGTGGAACTTTAGCCTCAGCCAAGGTGCCAAACCTGGCCACTCATCTGGTTGCTGCCGGAGAGACCAATGGACACTCCAAGCCCACTGGGGAGAAGGAAATGGGGGAGACCCCTGAAGATTCTGGAACTTCTACCTTGCCACCCAGCTGGCCTGCTCTTCCCAACTCAGGCCAAGATCAAAAGGAAGGTATTTGTGAGGCATCTCTGGAGGAAGAAGCTGAAGAAGAGGAGGAGGGCGAGGAGGAGAGGGAGGAAGAGTGTGAGCCTCAGGCCTTGCCAGCATCTCCTGCCTCGGCTTGCAGCCCACCGCTGCAGCAGCCACAGGGCTCCCAGGTGCTGGCTACCCTCCGTGGCCAGGTGCTCCTCGGCAGGGCTGCTGGCGCTGCAAGTGGCCAGTGGTGGCGTCGGCGGACACAGCTATCCCGTGAGAAGCGGTTTACCTTCGTGCTGGCCGTCGTCATTGGTGTCTTTGTGCTCTGCTGGTTCCCTTTCTTCTTCAGCTACAGCCTGGGTGCCATCTGCCCACAGCAATGCAAGGTGCCCCATGACCTCTTCCAGTTCTTCTTCTGGATCGGCTACTGTAACAGCTCGCTGAACCCTGTCATCTACACCATTTTCAACCAGGACTTTCGCCGTGCCTTCCGAAGGATCCTTTGCCGCCAGTGGACCCAGACGGCCTGGTGAGCCCGCCTGCCCACTGCCCATGTACGGTTGGTGCCAGGTGGCACCCGGGCCATCCTGCTTCTTACCCTCCTTTATGTGGCCACCTTCTGGGGGGTTTCTTGTCCCTTCCCAGGTCCTGAAGGTCTCATCTGGGAGCCCCCAAGGAAAGGCAGGGACACCGTTCACAGGGAGTTCACTAGAAGCTTCCTCATGCTGACTTGGCTTTGGGGATGTGTTCTCTACTCCCTGCTTGAACATGAGCAGGTAGATGAGGCTTAAACCTTCCTGAATATAGTGGGGACCAGAGTAGGCTAGAACACCTCCCTCCCAGAATGTGCCCTGCAAGCCAGTGAGTGGGTTTCCCTTTCTTGAGGGCCCTGTGTTCCCTGGCAGGTCACTTGCTTGTGATGTCTTTGTTGCTTTTTAATCTTTCTCCCCTGTTAAAAGCAGGAAGCCAGCCTTCCACTTTTCCCAGGTGGACCTGCTGCTTAGAAGGAGGCAGACACCAAGACTGTGCATCCCCATTGGGCGCCTGTGGTTCCCATCAGGCACTGGGGTAGGGGTTATGGGCTTTTCTGAACTCTTTTCACCCTCCTTTCCCCAGCTTTTGGATTTGTATCTCCTTTAAAGGCCAGAATCATGGATCATTTTCCACACTGGGCGCCCTTCTGGGAGGTGGGTAGGCACGTGGATGTCTCAGTGGGGCGGTCTGGAGGCCTGGTCTCTGCCTCAACAGGAGATTCCTGATCACTAGCATTCACCCCTTGCAAAAACTGGGGTAACAATAGCATGACCGCCTACCTGCCACAGGGACATGAAAGGCTTTGCCGAAAGCTTTGAGCTCCATGAGGAAAAATGCCCTAAAGAACCAGAAAATGTGATTATTCAGTGATATAAAAATCCCCTTTCTCTGTGTTTACCACTACCTGTCTTCCTGTAGATTTTTGTTCTGTGCCTGGGGTGTGTGAATACCTAACCCCGAACTGGAAGTGGGGAGTGGCAGACAGAACCACTATTTTCAGTTAAAGGGTTTCTTTGAGAATATATTCTTGTGCCTGCAAAGATTTGAGTTATTATGCTGCATGACAGCGTCTTGACATTTCACCTGCAACACCAAGAGGATTTTCAGTGGCTTGACTCCCCAATAGGGGATAAGTCTTTTGTCATCAAGCAGTCAAATTGTTTCCCCAAGACAGCTAAAAATACCCAAACCATGAGAACAGTCTGAGAGCCTGTGGTGGGTGGCAGACAGGGTGCTGGGCAGGAGCAGGTGAACAAGGGCCCCCTAGACTCATGGGAGGACTCATGAGTCCATGAGAGAAGGACTCCCCAGGGAAGGACTCCAGGTCCCAAATGGGTGCCTGTGATGCACAACAGATCCCACCACCAGGGCTACCACCTGACCACCTCAGACCCAGTCAAGTTACCCACGCTACTGTAGGGGCTCCAGGGGCCTCTCCCTGCTGTTCCTCTCCCCCACCCAGAGCCAGGGCCTCTGGAACATTTGGGAGCATTTGAAGAAAGTTTCCCAGTCTTCCCCATGGGGATGTCTGGCTTCCACATCAAGCCAGCGAGCATCTTAGCTTGAGGGTGGGGCTGAGCGCTGCAGGCACTACTGGCATTCTATTGGGCCTGGCAGCTTTGGAGGGGTTCCGAGAGACTTTTCTGGGGTGGAGAGAATGGAGAGGAAAAGAAAGTCTCTCCTGGGGAGGGAGGCTATCCAGCAGCTTCCTTGGTCTCTGGGCCAGGTGAAGGGCACTGCCCTGGGGCAGGGCTGAGGGGGCAGGACCGGGGGAGGGTCTGATGTGCCCCATGGGACCCTGGCTCTTGCTGCCTGTGGCACTCTTATTGTGATATGTAGGGTTTTTTTTTTTTTAAAGTCTGAGCTATTTTGTCAATAAAGGATATTTTGTAATAAGCAAGCTGTGTCCTCTTTGTCCAAAGGCTGCTGGGAGGCATTAGCTATTCCTCAACTAGACTCTGGGCAGAGGCTCCCTTCCAGGCCCTCTGGTCCGGTTCTCTTCTGGGTGTGGCAGGCTGGTACCTCCTGCCTGCCTGCCTTGTCCACTCAGCATCCTTTATTCGTCATCACGTATAAGTGGGGGTAAGATTGGCTGGAGGAGCCAGAGTCTGGCTACCTGAGTAGGGAAGTCGGGGGGATTTCTAGAGGGGGTGACATTTAGGCTAAGCCTTGGAGGAAGAGCAGAAGGACATGAGGAGGTAGGATAGGATGGTGTTTGGGGCGGGGACCAGCACATGCACAGGATGTTGTCTTGGGTGGATTTGTGAGTTTTGAGAGTCAGTCTGCTGGGGGCTAGCAGAGGTGGTGGAACACTGCCCACATGGGGTGGGAGCCACGCAGTTAAGGAAGGAGGGACAGGATGGTTTTAAGTTGCTGCCTTCAGTGAGATGCAGAGGAGCGGAGTGGAGCTGCCTTGCTCTAAACTCTCCGCATTAAGATTCATTCACGTCAGAGCTGGGAGGTCTGCGGCTATCTTAGTCTCCTCATTTCCCAGTTAAAAAGAGTCTGAAGCCCCAAAGCTCTTTGTGAGCTGGGTTAGGAGCTTAGACCATCAGACATCCTGTCCTGCCTCAGAGAGGACAGGCTGCCCCAGGTGGGCCTAGTTATAAGGGCAGGGAGGCCAGACAGTGGGCAGGTAGCAAGGGCCGGTAACTAAGGCCAGGGGTAGGGGCAATGCAGGTGGCAGAGCCCAGGGAGAGGTGTGCCCTGGGAGGGGAGGGCAGACGGAGGTGCAGTGAGACTTCCTCCTAGGGGCCCCTCCCTCCACCTTCAGGATTTACACTTCCCGGGGGCAACCAGAGGAGATGCCTACGTACCCACCATCACTGGTGACTTGACATGGAGCTTCACTGAGGAATCTCAAGAAAGTCACCCTCTGCTGAGGAACTCTCAGCCCTTTCTACAAGCTTGGGTACCCACTGCTAAGACCCCGAGGCTTGATGAGGGGAGGCCAGAGTACACTGACAGGTCCCATGCTAGGCTTGACCCCACTTTGCTACCTTATTCAGTTCTCAGATGAAAAACTGAAATGGAGTCCCAGGGACTAGTCCAGAGTCACACAGGCTATATAGGTGGTACAGCTGGAGCTAGATCCCAGGGCTCCTGGCGCTCGATCTGGCCTTCCCTCATTTCTGCTCTTCTGGGTGAGTAGCACCTACTTTTGATTTCCCCCTGAGCACACCTGGATTTGTGAGTGAATGATATGGGCTCAGAGCAGCAGATATGGGGGGGATACCCTCCAACTCCCAGGAGGCACGTGCCATGGAGGTGAGGGTGGGGGAAGGAGGTAGGCAAGCAGGAAGACTTGGCAGTTCACCAGCTGGAGGCAAGCTGTCTTGGTCAGGTGCATCTGCTTTCTGGAGACCCCTGTCTTGAGACCCATGAGCCCTTAAATAAAGGGAGGTACCAGCAGAGAAGACAGTTAAAGAATAGGTGTGTGTGTGTGTATGTGTATGTGTGTGTGCGTGTGTGCACATGTTTTGTGGGAGGGTTAAGAAGACCTCTTCTTACATGCACTGCCTGATAATCTGGGTTCTTAGATCATGGAGGACAGACTTGAAAGACAATCAGATGCAGCCTGTGGCTCAGGGCAGTCACCGAGATATTCTGGGTGTAGGAAATTCTTCTTCAATGCGTGGTTGCAGGAGGGCCAGGCTGACCTGCAATGTTTAGGTGGGATGGGGCACATGGGTTCCTTGCCCCTCCCCATCTTCTACACAAGGCGATCTCCATCTTGTGTGTTTGGGGGAAGTTGCTGGGAGGCAGGTGTGAGACCTTGCTCACGTACCACCTGCAAGTGGAGTGGCTGCTGCCCGAGGAGGAGGCACCAGCCCAGCGCAACCTTTAATTTCCCCGGTGCTGCCATGGGTTGCACTCAGAGTCTGGTCCCAGGTGGCTGCAGGGCTGGGGGTGGGATTTCTCTGCCAGTGAAAGCCAAAGTGGGGAGACCAGGATGGTGCCCTGCTTCTGCCACCATTTGTCCAGATGCCTTTGGGTGGGGGCTGTGTCTCTCCTCAGTCCTCAGGGTCCCTGTGTGCCCACCAGGGATTGCCCTCGTGGCCCCCAGGGCTCCCCAGTTTGAGGCTTTTTCTCTGCCCCCCTCCTTTCCATGAAGGTGCAGAGGCGGAAGTTCCTGGGTTAATCAGTGGTTCTTGGAGTCTGGCTCTTGGTAGGATGCTCCCTTCACCTTTGAACCCCTGTGAGAGGCAGACAGGCCTGGGGTGAATGATCCATTTGGGGCCCTCTGAGACAGGCAGTGGTGAGAGGGATGGTGACAGCTCTGAGTAGGATCAGTGCCTGTGGTGCATCAGCTGAGATTGGAGCGATTACTGTCCCATTTTAGAGATGAGGATGCAGGCCGAGGCGGGGTGAGGGACTTGCTTGAGGTGCCCCAGCGCCAGGACATGAACTAACCCAATCTAATCTCAATTGTGTCACTAACTGACCTCAGCATTTGCCTCTGCAACAGGGGGAAACAGGCCCTGGGGCCCTCCCAGCCCAGCAAAGCCCTACCTTGCATGAGCTGGAGGGTCTCACCTGAAGAGATCCCATGACTTTGGGGGTCATCTCCCTGTCTGCTGGCACCTCATTAGAACAGAAGCCCAGGTAGGGGTGGGAAACTTCCAGACTCTGCTCACTGTTAGCAGGGGAGGCGGGGAGCACTTGGCTATAATTAGACTCTGGGATTCTGCGAGCTCCCCACATCAGTCAGCATCCGTCCTTTCTTCCATCCGGGCTAGGGAAGGCAGTTGTCAGGGGGCCAGAATGGAAGGAGCCGGCATGTCAGCTTGCACCCTCCCTGGGGCCTCCTGGCTCTGAGCTTCTCACACCCTCTCCTGGCCCTTGGCCAGAGGCGCTTGCCCTTGGCTTGGCCTTGTGGCCATATATTGATTAGCAGTGATTTCACAGGGAGAGCCGCCCCCCTCTTAATGCCCACTAACGCCTGGGATTCTGGCCCCTCTTGCTTGTGTCCCTTCCCCTCTTCTGGTCCTTCCCACTTCCGGTCCTCAGTGACTTGCTCCCCCTTCTCTGAGCCTCCTCTTTGCCTCCTTGTGACCCTCTGACTTCTACCTTCC